TTCAAACCAACATCCTGGTTTAAAAAAAATAATAATTATTTTGTTCTATGGTTAATAATAATTAGCTCTGTTGTGTGTGATCACAGCTCAAAGTGAAGTGGGTTTGCATGTTAGCTTCCTGCAGTTGTGCACTTCCTGCAGTTGAAGAAGACCCTTCACATCACAAAGCACCTTTAAACAGCACCCCTCCCTTCACCTTCCAAGCAAACCAAATACTGAAATATTCTCAGTGTAATCCGTATCTCTTAGGCAAAGGAGACTATCAGAAGTTTCTGTATCTGACCTGGAGTGCACTTATGAACCCTTTCTAGCTCAGCTTTGGCTCAGTCTGAAAGTGATTTTAAACATCACACACGTCTATGGATTTATGAAGTTACACTGACTCTTGAAGAGACTACATATAAAAGTCTTTAGCCAAACAAAAAAGCCATTTTGGAATTTGGAAACTTTTGGCAGCAGTGGCAGCTCAGACAGCCAAGCTATGAGCACCAAGTAATGAGCACTGAGTTCTGGGCTGAACTGAACCTCCCAGCACCCACCAAGAGCCAGCCCTAAAAGGTTGCTGCTGACTCCTTTCATTTTCAGCCTCTACATCAACACTTGAGAACAACTTCCAGGTAGGAAAAGCAGAAGTCATGTAAAAATGTAAAAATGGCTGCTAGAGCCATGCTAGATCTCTTCAGTAAACACAAACCCACTTCTGCAAAACAGATTAAGTAACACCTGATGGGCCAGAGGACATGGTAGAGAGGAGAGAACATTTAAGGACAAGTCAGAACACGTGCACCAACATCAGCACCACTCCTCAGCTGCTAATAAAAGACACAGCAACACACCACAAAACTGGGCATGTAAATTCACTGGGAATAGGTAGCATTTTTTTTCCAGAAGAATCCCAAATGCTTGTAAAACTGACAGCTGTGTTAACAGGCTGAAAATCCCTGCTTGGTTTTAGCATAGTTGCCTGAAAACCCAGAAAGGAACTGGAACAGCCCAAAAAACATGCCTTTTAAACTGGGCAAATTTGTGACCAGGCTGATTTGGGTGGCAGTGCCAAGGCCCAGGCTCACTGATGTGCCTGCAGCCAGAGTCTCCAGTGAAATGGTCTGTCCCATGTCCCCCAAGCTCCCACAACGTGTTCCAAATGGGCTGGTCTTGAACAAAGCCTACAATGCCCCACAGCTGATCAGAGAGAACCTACAGCCTGGCTGCCCACGAGGCAGAAGAGATTCATAGCCCAACACCGCATTTTTCAGAAACCTCCATCCTGGAAAGGCTGGAACCCCTGTGAAAGCCAGGACATGTGGCAGAGCACTTGATCTTGGCTGTACCTGTGCTGCTGCCAAGAAGAGGAGCTGTCCCCTCTTCATCCACACAAATATTCACATGGCTGCCCTGAAAGCTGGGCCAGTTCCCTGAGCTGACTTCCCACTGTGTACCAACACTAAGAACAAACCAGTAATAGTAAGCACAGCCAGGAGCAGCCTGGGAGTCTCCCTGCACTACAGAGGTCAGGGAAGTGCATTGCAAATAATTACAGGTAAGCCTGGACTCAAACTTGAAATAAACTGCAGGAACAAAAGTAGCACTTTTGGAGAGGCAACTAAGGTTTGAACACCTCTAGCCTCCCAAGCTGGCTTTAATTAATTTTGCTTTCTAAAAAAAGCCAGCCAGCTCTTAGATAATTGCAGGTCTCTTCAAGCCCACAGGAAACTCTGTCACCCTCTTTCTCCTAACATCACCTGGTTTTTATTTTCTCTGTTTCTGTGACACACCATTTTCTTCCACTGGGTGACCCTGTCCACCCATCCATTTTAGAATAGACCTTTTCCACTGATTTTCATTAGAGAAAAAAAGCAATGAAGGCAGAGGCTACAGGACAAACAGGAAGACCCATGTGCTGAAGATCACAAGCCCTAGGAAGAGCCATGAAAGGAGATGGGCCTGGGCTTTGCCCACGCTTCAGGCAGGCAGTCTCCCAGGCATGATTCCACAGCTGAACTCTCAAAGGCTGCTTCCAAATTTAGCAGAATTTCTCCAGGCTGCACTGGCAAATCCAGTTGTGCCTGAGCACAGAGCACAGGCAGAGCCCAGAACCCTGTGCTCTACCAATTTGTAGAGCACAACTGTTGATTATTCTCTAACACTTCCTGAGGTTGCAATTTTTCCAGGTAAACAGTATTTTTCCACTGTCCCTGGTAATCTCTGGTTCAGTGCCCTGATTTAAGGCTTTCCCACACATACACTTCAGTGCTGCCTGCCAAGTAAGAACTTTTGCTGGCAGTTTTTCTTAATCCAGAGGAAGTGGTAAGGTTTTCCTGGTGTATTGAGCAACTGAATGATGCAGATTTAAAAAAAGATAAAAAATTAAATTTTAAAAAATTCTCTTCTAGTATTGGATTAAAAAAGATGAAGAATACTGAAGTGTTTACTGATCCCATTTAATTTTCTATCACCACTTAGACACTTGAACTCACTATGACAATAAGCTAAAGGTATGAAAGCCTGTTGCAAGAGCAGAATCCTCACTTCCACACCAATCATCAAACCACTAATTTATAAACCATTTAAGAGATTTAGCAATATTCCTACAGGACTACTGTTTCCTTGCCTGGGGATACCTGCTTTCTGAAGGCCCTGTATTCATGGCTAATGAGTACTACTTTCTGCTATTAGAAGTGATGGAGCCTCTCTAGACTAATAAAACCCATTACTGGTGCCTCAGGCAGTAGGAATGACCATTTCCATCTCCTGAAGCACGGATGGTGTGGTAGGTCAGTCAGTCTCAGTCCAGTTCATGTGGCAGATGGCAGAAAACACAGCCTGTCCTGTCAGTCTGTTTCATTCCTAAGGAAGCTGCCACATTCCCAGAGACCTATAGGCCTTTTGGAAATGCTTTTGAATCACTAAGGAAGATCCTCATCCATCCTGCCCAAGCCCCAGTCTGTTGGCCATACTGTGGGGCTGCAACCCTCAGCCACTCCCACTCTTCCCACGCAGTGCCACAGCAGCAGTTCTCAATGTCTCCTGACAAGACAAAGAAGCAACATTTGACAGAACCTGCTTTTCCAATAATATCTGACATGGGCAGACTGTTTCTAAAACCATCTTCCTGTCTCTTCTGCCACAGTGACCAAACTCAATGGGTTGGAATGTTGAAGTTGCATCAAAAGAGAGAGTTTCAGTGTGTATGTATATTGGTTTGATGCCATTGTGAAGAGAAAAGAGCCAAGATGGTCAGAGCATGAACTGGTTATCCTGTGACACTTGGATTATTTCACTCCAGGAGCACAGGGGGTGTCCCACGGTTATTGCTAAGTGGTTTCAGTTGTGAGCAGTCTTGACAACAAGCAATGAAGGGAAGGGTTCATGGGCCTCACCTGCCCTCCTCAGCACACCTGGAATCCCCACTGGCATCAGGGGGTGCTGGGGACAGCCAGGAGGCAGGATGTGGCCTCTCAGCATACCTTGGTGCTGATCCTCAGCTGCCTGCTCCACACAGGCACCACAAACACTTCCCCAGCACTGTCATTTCCGCATGTGTCCTCCCCACTAAGCCTCAGACATTCCTGGGACAGCGGAGCGCCCGCGCAGTTATCCCATGTGTCCCATTCAGCACAGCAATCCAGGCCACTTGCCCTGAGCCACACTAAATGGTGTTTGAGCAACATATCCCAGGAGCTGCCTCACAGCTCCCATGATTGCTTCACACCTTCCACACAGGGCTTGTGAAACCTGAGCAGACAATTGCTTTCCAGCCTGTTTCACTACCAGAGCAGCCTCTCTATCCTCCTCTCCCATGCCAGTGGAAAAGGCTGGCTCAGGACATTCCTTGCAGTGCTGGTCACTACTCTTACACATAAAAATAAAGCAAAACCTCAAACCAGACATGATATTGCTCTAGTGCAACGTGGATCATGGATGGAATGTGCTATGTGTTGTGCTTTAAAGCAGAGGTTAGCACCAGAGGATTCCCAGCATTACTAACATAAGAGATGTGACTTCCCTGTCTGGTAAAAAACCAAAGCAAGGCTTGCTCTCTGCTGTTGGCAGATTCCATTACAGTTCTGGATGTCCCACACCTAGAGCTGAAGGCAACTGCACAGGAAATCAGTCAACATCAGCTGAGTGAGATCAGTTGGTAGATTCCACTTACCTGTCTGGCACAAAAACAGTGACATTCCCACTGAAAGAAACTCACCTGTTGAATGTCAAGCTAATTTCTTGGAAGCAAGCCACAGAAAAGCACTTTAGAGTAAGAAGAGGAGCCAAACCCTACTTTTACACTACTTAAGATTCTAAATCAACAAGAAATGTTGTCAGTGATGTTCTGCCTACTCAGGTGTCTTGACAAATCCTCTCCACACATTATTTGTTGGCTAGAACTTATTTCCCCCCGAGTACTAAATATAATCACTAGAACCCTCATTCCAGCCAGCATGAATATATGGCAAGAAGTGCCACTGAGCCAGCACATTTTGATCTCACATTTCTTGCCAGCTGTCCCTTATCTTCTCAGATAAACAATTTATACCATTACTTCTAATCATCTGGAGTAGTGGCTGACCCAAAACGGTATCACCACACTAATGTCATTAGCACAAGCAAAGACTCTGTTATTATTACTATTATTGTTATTATTATTATTAAAATAATGGTGTAATGAGGCCTGAGCTCATGATGAGCTCATGATGAGCACATGAAAAACAAAGGGAAAAGTTTAAAAATTCTTCCTACTGACTATGCTAATTTGTGACAGTGTTTACTCCTGATGTCTTAGGGACATATTAGTTGTCCTTATGAGAACACATTAAACACGAAGAGTATTACAGAACATTAGCAGCTGACAGCATCCTCTGAGCTCTTCTCCTGTGTCCCATCAACGCACAGTTCCCACTGTATGTGTCCAGCTGGAGCAGACTGCAGTTCTGGTAAAACTGGGGTTTATGACAGGCAGTATCAGACTGCAGTGACTCAGCCAAGCAACACACTGCCTACACAGATGAAGCACTGGCTAAAGAAAGAGCATGTGGAGAAGCAGAAGCTGTTACCTGTGGGTGGGGAGGGAAAAACATCCCCAGAAGGATAAAGCTCCTGGCTGTTTTCAGAGCTGTGTGGAGGCAGAAAGGGCTCTGCTAGGTCACAAACAGAGGGGAGGTCCAATATGCTGCTCTCTGAGGTGAGACTCGGTGACATCTCCTTTTCTTCCATGGTCCCACTGCAGACAGAAATGAGACTCAGCTGGGTTTTTGGCGCATGAAAATCTAAGAAGAAGTCAGAACAAATAATCTGGAATTTTTGTACTGCTTTATGAGATGACAGGACCTGCTTTAGTATAATCCTACTTCAATTAAGAAAATAAAAACTAATTTAGAGGTGTAAAGAACGAACAACAGCAAGCCCCATAGATAACAGCCTTCAGCCTTAAGAAGGATAACTAGGAGATCACAATAAATCTGGCTTTCCTAGAGGCTTCCCAGAAGTACAGCCTCAGGCCCCAACACTAGGAAGCCATGGAGCATATTCCCTTCAGGGTGCCCTCTGTGTGCCATTTAAAAGGAAACACTTTCTACAGGGTCCCTTGCTGCTACAAGTCTCAGGTTAAACCATCCCTCCTGGCTTATGTTCACTAGCAGAAAGAAAAAGCATTTTAAAACTTGGTAGCCTCAATCTCACAGGGATGGCAAAGACTTCCTGGCAGGAGATGCCAGAGGAGCTGTGTTAAATAATTGGTGCTCAGCACTTTGGAAAGCTTTGGTTGAAGCATCCCCTCATCCCAACACCTTTTTATCAAAAAGCTTCCTCAACCAGTTCACCACCACAGAGGGAAAGAACACACAGCAAGCCAGGGCTGGTGCCACCCTGCTCCACACCAAGGGTTACAGTGAATGGGCAGCTCCTTTGGAGAGGATGGGTCTGAAGCGTTCCAGTCCAGCAGCTCCAAGCACAGTCACACGAGTGTCTGGGGCAGAAGAGAAGTGAAATGAGTAAAACTTGGTGGAGTAAGAGTGACAAGACAGAGGATCCAGATCTGGTGGTCAAGCAATGGCCTGTGGCCCTGCAGGCTCATGTTTATCTTCTTTTCTATAAAATGAAGACCACAAATTCTTGTTTTGGGGGTATAATCAGTAAGGAATGCAAGAGCCACAGTGGGCAAGGAAATCCTCAGAATGCATTAGTACTGAAAAAGAAATATCTCCAAGGCAGATTTTAAAAAAATAACATAATTCCTTACTCAGCTTCTGTGCTGAGTAAACTTTTACCTAAGATACACCTCTGACCTTTGCAAAATGCTGGCCAACTCACTGAGGAGGAGAGGGGAGATGATGGCTGTGATACCAGAGACAAGCAGCTGCCTTGCCTTGGAGGGAAAAGGTCTGTGCACTCACAGAAAGATTCCAGGAAAAAAGGCAGTGGAAGGTTAAAAACAAAACAAAGTGCACAACCAACTTCCCCCAACAGAAGGAAATTCTCATCTATTGCTCTTCATGCACCAAAATATAAATAATCTGTGCATAAGGAACACAGAGAAGGAAAAACTTTCCTCAAATATTGTGTTTATGATGTGTGCTACTTTAAAGTAGAATAGTATTTAGAGAACTAAACTACCTATACCCTCCACTGGTCTGGAAAAACCCCAAAAATACACACCACAAGTCAAATGAATTCTATCCCTCCAAGGGCAAATGGCAAATTACAGCAACAGGAGCTGCTGCTGTGATACCACAGCAGCTTAAGGCTGTCACTGATGGGAGCAGCAGCAGCCCTGGACGTCTCTGCCAGCTGCATGTGCCACTCCCCCTCCTTGTTTTGCCACAACATGACTAACACCATGTGCAACCAGGTTTTGATCAGGCTCAGATAAAACAAAACAGTATTAAAAAATAATAGTTTTCCTCTGGAATAGCTCCCTTTAGTCCTACCCCCAAAGCTGATGGTGAGACACAACTCATAGTGTTTGTGAGAAAAGGCTCAGCCCTGGGCCTTCAGACAAATGAAGGAGCTTCACTATTTCCTCTGTGCCATACCTGGTAAGAGAGAGCACTGATGTGCAAACAGTCCCTCTGGACAAAGTCCAGGAGCAAACAGTCTGTTGCTGCTTCAGGATTCCCTTATTCTTCCTTCATGGATTGTCAGCCCCAGACTGCTGGAATGAAACAAACAGGTCAGTCAGATGCTTTGGGCCAGCTGATCTGGCAGATGGACAGGGTGACCTTTCAAAGTGCATATGTTAGCCAGTCATCACATATGCCACTGTTTGCTGGGTCTGGTACAGAGGAAGAGTTTCTTCTAGGAATCAGAAAGAGCACATCTAGTTATGCCCTTGAACCTCTTGACAGCAGTGTGTGGTACTTCCTAGAAGTAAAGGCAAGATTTACTTTACAAGAAGCTGCCAGATGGGCTGTTTGTTCAAAACCCATCAAGCAGAGAAGTAATAGCTGGCAGCCTTCCCTCCCTCTTGTGGAGAGTTGGTATTTCGTCAACAGGTTTATCTAGCGGTATCTTGGCGTCAACAGCCGGTTTTGTCAAACCTCAACCAGGAAATGTGCTTTAAGAGGGCCACAAAACCCACCCTGTAGCGTACAACACAGGCTCACAAAACGCAAATCCCGTTTCCTTGGCCATTACCTCAATTATTTTCAGTGAACAACCAGGGGAGGCACACTTTCAGGCAGAAAGCGGATGTTTTTCCGGGCCACCCTCACCGGATGTGTCCCAAAGGCCTGTCCTGCACAGGCTGGCATTGCTGCAGAATGTGGTGGATACAAGATATGTGATGCACCGGCCTTACCAGCTGCCCTGCTCAGCAGGCGAGAGCGTTCTCTTTCTCCCGGCCTCGTTTCTTTCCCCTTTCCTTCAGGCAGCAATCACGCGTTATTTCAGACACCGCTTCCCTGGCAGGGCAGCACAACACGAGTGACACAGGGCGGTGCGAGCCCGGAGAACCCCGCCACCTTCCGAGGGGAAAAGCAGCCCCAGGGCAGCGGAGCTCGGGGAGGAGGCAGCGGAAACACGGGGCGTCAAAAGCGCGGCAGGGCTGCCCGGGCCGGCCGCACCGGCACAGCCGCGCCTCGGTCCCCCCGCTGCTGCCGGGCCAGCGAGGGCGCTCCCGCCCGGGGCCGCCCAAGGGCGAGGGGAAGCGGGCAGCAGCCTCACGGCTGCGGCAGGCGGGACCGGCGGGGCTGGGCGAGGGGAAGCGGGCAGCAGCCTCACGGCTGCGGCAGGCGGGAGCGGCGGGGCTGGGCGAGGGGAAGCGGGCAGCAGCCTCACGGCTGCGGCAGGCGGGACCGGCGGGGCTGGGCGAGGGGAAGCGGGCAGCAGCCTCACGGCCGGCGGGACCGGCGGGGCTGGGCGAGGGGAAGCGGGCAGCAGCCTCACGGCCGGCGGGACCGGCGGGGCTGGGCGAGGAGAAGCGGCGCCGGAAGGGAGCCGGAAGCGGCACCGCCCCGCGGGCTGCGTGTGCGAAGGGCGGGCGGATGTCCAAACGTGCCCGGCCAGGTTCTCCTCGCACGCTTCTGGCTCGGGTTTCTCTCCCTGGGTTTCTCTCTCTGGGTTCGGAGAGGTCTCGGCGGGGTAGGCAGCGGCGCTATCCCGTGCCTGGCACAGCGGATGCTGTCTCGGGCTGCTCAGCGCTTGGCCGCTGTACACTGCCCTGCAAAGGTGCGGCCTGGCCAGGCTCTGAGCAGGGATGAGCAGGGTGCAGACATCATAGCGCGGGCTGAGAAAGAACCAACACAATTCCCACGCGGGACATAAGCTGCCAGCCGTCCTCCGAGGGCCTGCGGAGCTGATGGAGGCGATGCGCACCGAGGACGTCCATGTGCTCCCACCAGGAGTTTCAGCAGGCGCGGGATACAAACCACGCTGTTTGGGGTATCCCATCGCTTCGGCACCCGGCGCGATCGGTGCGTGCTGCCACACGCACAAGAGGCGTGGCGACAAGGACATTTACCGGGGACCGACGCTGACATGCTGAGTGTCTTCAGCAGGGCTGCAGGGATGTCGCGGACAAGCGCTGGGTGCTGCTCCGGCCCGGAGAACGTAGCGCAGCGCCAGACGTGCCAGGGCGGAGGTCAAGGTGCCCTGGCACCGTCTGGGCCCAGTCGGGAGGAAGGCTGCCGGGGAGAACTGCTGCCAGAGGAGAGCTGCCTGGGCTCTTTGGCACACGAGCTGCCAGAGAGACTGGGAAACAGCTGGGAGTTTTTTCCAAGAGGCTTTGAACTTCAGAGTTACTGAAGGCAAGCTGATGTGCTTAGGAGGAAGTCAATAAAAAGGAGGGAAATCATTGTGAAGTCCCGTGGCTGTCAAAAGAGTTTTGTTTTTCTTGCAGGCTTGAGCTGGGAAAGGTCTCCCCAGGGAGAGCCTTTGGATCTGTGTTTCAGGCACAGCAGTGACTCTGCCTCGCCCTTAGTGTCTCCTGAACAGGTCTGGGCATTTGGGCTCACTGCACAAGTGGAGATGAAAACCTAGCGACACTTTGAACTGTGGCTCGCCCTGGGCCCTGCTCTAGTGCTAGGTTACCTCTTGCCAGTTATATCTGTCCCCAGAATATGACTGGCAAGGAGCTACCATCACCAGGAGCTACCCATCCCTCTGTAACCCAGAAGGCAGCACCCCAGCCCTTCATTTCCTTACAGGGATTGGAGCTGGAGCTGAGCTGTGGAATTCAAAATATCAGCAGGTCTGCTTTATGTAGCTCTGGGAGCACGTGCAATATTACAGCATCCAGAAAGCAGCCATCTCTGTGATTTCAGCCCACTGGATCATGCCAGGTCTCTGCTGCTAGAAAAGCTCTGGCAGTGGGGAGCACCACTGGCTCCTGGAAAAGCAAGGAGCTCCAGCGAACAGAACTGCCAAGGAAGCTGTAGTACTTATTAACAAACACACACAGCTCACCAGTTTGTATTTGTCATACTGGGTGGGCAGCCAAATCTTTGAACTTCGTTTCCCTCCTCTCCCTCACCAGAGTGAGTTCCTGCAGTGCTGGCACCTTCACCGTTGTAATCTTTATTCCTTATGAACTGTGTTATCAGCAAAAAGATTAAGTTTGCCTGTAGTATTTAGGGCAAGTCTCTAAGTGTGTACTACGCTCCCCTTTATCAGTGTCTTGTTGTTAGCACATGATAAAACTGTACCAGCATCATGTCTGAAGCTGGTTAAAACAGAAGGTACGTGAGAGCCAGGAAACTCAGAATTAAACCCCACACTTGACATTTACCAAAGATCAGATTACTGAGAGTCAATTGAGGGAAAGGAAATGCATTTTCTGACTGTTGCAGCTTTGTCACAGTGAGATTTTTCAGTGCTGACAGTCTCAGGGCCAGATGGTACAAGCTGTACAGTTCCATATCATTGAAGATAATGTGTACCTGCCAACTAACCATCTTAAATACTTAATACATAACATGAAGAAAAATAGTTTGTCTTCACAAACAGCAGAACTTTCACGTTTATGTATTTTGGGTTCTTTCCCACTGTCACACCACAGGGGAGCCTGCCTACTTCCTTCTTTCTTATGCAAGAGCTTGAAGTTAATTTAGTACGTCAGAGCCGAGTAACGGTGGAGTGAATAGAAGCTAATGCAGGACGTGGGCTGAAGGGATGCTAAGGAGACATGGAAAAGATAGATTCTTACACGCTTGAATTTACAAAGATTGTTCTGATGATTAACAGAAATTATTAAACCAAAGTTTGTAGTCTATACTTCAGAGTTTTGGATTCACTCCTTACCATGAACTAGTCCTTTGTTCTCAGAACTAAAAGCAAGAAAAAATACCACTATATTTAAATGTAGTAATTGCATGAATTTTCCTTCTCAGCTGAAGACACTGTTACTAAAACAAATGGAATATCAGGCTCCATCTCAGTTTCCATTCTGAAACTTTCCCCAAGCACTGCAGACAGTGTTTTAGTGGCCTTTGCTCTGGAAAATCCTCTTGTGGTTACCCCAGGAATGAGTGTTTATAGGCTTCAGGCCAGTGTCAGTGAGAAACAGCTCTTCAAACCCACAAGATGAGAAACAGCAATTGGCAACTCATCTCCACTCCCTCCAAACCAGTGAGGCTTGCTGACAACACTGCAAGCAGCAAAAAGCAGAGGAAGGCTGTAGGAAAAGCTCTTGTTCACCGGTCCACTATCCCATAAAATGTAAGACACCTGGCATTCTCAAGTCACTTTTTGCATGATCATCATCCCTTCACCTAGAGCCATGTCCTTTGTGTGCACACCACAGTACAGCATTGCAACTGTAGTGCAGCTCAGCTGCAGAGGCAAAACACATTAAAAGCTGTATTATCCATCCTTATTCCTACCAAGGCCAGACCAGGGTTAGCATACTTGTGGGACTATACTTGCTTACCTGGAGAAAAAAAAAGGGGTTGGTTACCCTAAAACTTACTGATTTCTCCATCTGTGTTACTTGATCAGATGAAGAGTATTATAGTTCCTCCAAATTTGCCAAAGCTTTCAGGCCACATAAAAAGACATTGTGTGTTTCATGTTTTGCCACATCAAAGGCAATCACTCAAAGCAGCAAACTTCCCTCTGAAGGGTCAGTTCCACTTAAACTGAAGTACCCCTCCTGGTCATGGCTATCTCCAAGCAGTGGTAACTGCAGGGCTAATGCCTTTCAGAGTTTGCACTGAGCTATCACAGAGAGCTAATTGTTGACTTAGGTTCCTGGTTAACTCTAGGGTTAACATGTAAGCTATTTTACCTGTCTTTCTCATTTATAAGCTAATCTACCTATCTTTCTCACCCACAGTCAAGCAGGTATCTCCCAGATTCCTCCAAATTCATAAGCTCTATTCTGATAACTTCACGACAGGGGAAGTTTATGAGCAGCAAGCAGTCATCTGCATTACAAAAAATGGGTCAGGCAGACAATCAAAAACATTCTTCGCCTTCTCTTCCCTGGCCATAAGTAATGCTTTTTGTTTCCTCCTTCAGTAACAAGGGGTTTAAGCCTTTTTCATGCTGCAGTCAACACCGAGGTACAGGAAGTTTCAAAAACCAAATGTTATTTTCTGCTGTACCACATGCCAGTAAATTGACTTCTGTTTTTTCCCCTTTTTTTATGAACCCCTTATTGTGGCTGTGACCTGCTTTTTCTGGTATCTGACTTTTTAAGGTGTCACTTATAAACTAAACATGAAATCATGCTGGCCAGTTTATGTATTAATACTATGCCTTAGAATTTTGTGATTCCAGGAGAAAATGGTTTTCTCTTCAAAAATTAGTTTCCTGTGGCAAAGATTTGACAATGTGAATGTTGGGGATCTTTCAGTACAAGCAGGAGCAGGAATTATTTTTCTTACAGTTCTGTACCAAATCCCACCTCTCTTCTTTGAGATCCCCTGCTAGAATTGGTGCAGAAGCATGCCTTCCAGTGCTCTGAGTGATAATACCTCCCCTCTTTCTTGGGTTACCTCCTTAGCATCTGCTGCTGCTTGAACACACTTTGAATGACAGCCTTTTAGGAGCTAATGGTATTCTTGTTCTGTACAAGATTTTAACACTGTGGATGCTGATGTAAGGCTCTGGGGGGCCTCATTTCCTCTCTTCTGCATCACAATTGACTAAAATAAAACAAAAGCATTATGTGACTTGGGAGTAGGCATGAAGCACACTGTAACTTATCTCTCATGATGCACCTAAGCACAACTTGGGTCTCCCTTAATTGGCATACTGTTTCCCTCTGCCAGAGTTCTCCTCTTGCACTGCTTTCCTGTTTAAGTCCCCACACCCTTGCATTCCTGCTGCCCAGGAGTTTTGTTCATCCCAATCGAGCTGCCTGGCTGTGACACTGCTGCTATGTATGTAAATGCTTCAATCCATGCACAGCAGAGACTCTGGGGCTCCTAAGCTCATGTCTCAGTCTCCCTTTGGGGCAGAATCACCCTTTAACCATTGGGTTATCCTCTGCTGTTGCTCTCCTTGCACTCTTGAAGCAAGCGATCAACAGTCTCTTCAGTTTCTTAGTCACTGTACACACCAGCCAGAAATTTGACTCCTTTTTTTCTGTCAGGGAAAATGTGTCTGTGTTTCCAGTTCTTGTATTCCTGGGATCTGGATGGAAATTGTTACAGCTGGACCTTCATCCCTCTATACACACATAAATACCCGCCAGGGGTATGTCATGTTCTTGTGCTGTTGAGCCTTCAGGGAATTTCCAACAGATCCTTCCAGTTTCACTTGAAGTAAACAGTCACAGGAGAACTGTCAGTCTGGCTTCTTGCTTGGATCTTCCAGCTCCTGATATGGTATGGAGGTACAACAAGAAGTGTCAATTGCAGTAATTATGCACTTGTCTCCACTGGAAAACCTCCTGTGTTTAGGAGCTGAGCTCACTTCCTTGGCTTTCTACAAGCTAGGGTGTCTCCCCTGTCCAGTAGCAGCTTTTGTTACCAGCAGCACAGTGGCTGGTGAGCTCTGACCTCATTACCTAACAATCTGTTCGACTGGATCCAAGAGTTCAGAAGTAACCTGAGATAAGAACAGCCACATTGACCCTGTTTTTCCTAGAAGCCAGATCAAAGTAAAGAGTCAGGTCTGTCATCTGAAGGGCTCGTGGGTGATGATGAATAGTGAAACTGAAGGGCAGAGATTGTAGAGTGCCCAGGGATATCGCCCTCTGCTCTGAGGACACTGTCTGCTCCCTCAGCAGCTGTATTGATTCAGGGAACTTCTGAGTAGTTTTTGCAGTTGTGAGCACATAATTTTACTTCAACTGAGTTTCCACTCATAGGACATAGACTAGACAATGGCTTTGGTGTTAATTTTGACCACCAATTCTAGGAGAGCTCTGGCAAGCACATTTCTCTCTCTCTCAGGATTTTTCATAGAGGAGCACAGAAAAAAGAGAAAACAATTTCTATTTCTGCTCCTTGTTTTTCCATGTGGAATGTGTTTGGAGAATTGTTTACTTGGGTGATTGCTTGATTGGATTCTGGTGAGGCTTGTTTGAGCCTGATGGCCAATCAGATCCACCTGTATTTGGACTTTCTAGAACAGGGTCACGAGTTGTGAGTTAGATATGGTAGTTAGAACAAGTAGTATGTAGTTTTAGTATCTCCTTTAAATAGTATATTAATGAATTATAGCATAGTTATAATAAAGAAATCATTCAGCCTTCTGAACTGGAGTCGGACATCATCGTTTCTTCCCACCGGGTTCACCTGCATTTACAATAGAGAGCATCTTTATAACTTAAAAGAAAGCTCCATTCTGATGCCATTCAGCATTTCTTGATTTCAGATGACAGTCTTATTACCTGCCCCATATAGTGTGGTGGGGTA